CAGGCCTGCTCCTTAGATCAACCACCAAAGGATCTTTAACTTGCGAAACATGCACACTTGACATATGAGATTTTTCATCCTTATCCCAGAAGACTAGGTGCTTGACATACCCTTTGCAATCAGAGGTGTGGAAACAGGAGACTGAGTGAGTGAGTGAGCCAGTGATCTATTTTTAAATTCTTTATTTTCTCAAACTGAGAGAAAGAATGAAGATTAACACCAAAAAAAAAGGAAGAGGGGAAAAAAAAACAACTAAATCCTGTCCATTGGGGGCAAAAAGCACTTGTAACCATTCTGAACTCTAAACTACCACCCTCTACCCAGCACAGATTTGAACAATAGCAAAATACTGAGAAAAAAAAAGTAGGAGCAGCACATCACACCAGAGCACACCCCAACCAACAGCAACATCAGAATAGTATTGTAACAAAGATAGAGAGGTCCTTGTGCATCTCCCTCGTTAATAAAAGAGTTCCACATGTCCTGCCCTTTTTAAATGACAGCCGCGGTGCTACAACTCACAGACAAGAGACAATTCTCAAAATAACACACTGGAATGTTCAACACAATATACAGATAACAAACTCCTCTGACAACAGAAATCTCAATGCAAAAGAAATAATGAAGAAGTACGAGTTCACCACGTCAAACAAAATGAAATACGTGATACAGTATGTTACACTCCCAGATAAAACATAACCCCACCAACCCGAGTGGACAGCTGAGGGCTCTTTTCCATCGCCCTTGTGTGCACCGAATGCATGACTCAGTATATGCGGTCAACAGCAGATACATTCGAAGCAAACCATTGATTCAAAACAGCGCAGTCACATTCTTAGAGGAGGCACTCCGTTTGAAAATAAACCGAGTAAAAAGTGGGTTTCACAGACAAATATTTCAAAGAACAAGCGTGCTCCACTAGACATATTTCTGTTTCTAGCAGTCTTTTCTATCAAGGCCAATACCTCCCAACCAGCTTTTTCTTGGTCATGTAGAGTTTCGCGCTATCCCAGATCACATTGCTCAACATTTGAAAAGGGATTGTTACAATTTGTTACAAAAGTGCACCCCAAACTTCTGACATACTAAAAAAAAATCAGTCTCAAAATCCCATTCTGAAATTTCTATTAAATAAAAAAAAACTGAAGGGTTTACGTGGCATTACAATGTCAGAGCACTTGCCTTAATATTTGGAATAATTTCACATTTATGTCACAATCTCAGAAAATTTTCTTAAAAAAAAAAAGCCTCAAAAATGTGCAAGGCAACCATAACAACTACATTCTATTCAGTCATTCTTCTCAACATGGAAACAAAGAACATATTGCCCAAATGACATGAGAGGGAAAACCACCAACATTCAGTACAAAATGGGCAAACAGAGAGGGTAATGATAAAGTGAAGGGTTCGCTGACAAAATGCGTTATCTCCAATTCGAACTTCCACTTTTTTCCACTCTAATCTGCAAGTGGGATCTTCAATCTTACTGCTTAAAAAAATTTGTAACAATACATGTTTTAGCCATTGATTTCGTGCTATTTCGATACAACATCTTTTGTCCAAAAACCCTTCATTCGTATACAGGACAACTGAGAGAATACTGAATTCATCAAAACATACAGGTGATAATACAGAATATAAAAAAAGAAAGAAAAAACAACACAGGTGCCAACTGAGTGTGAACCAGCGGCAAATAATACAGTTGTGGAATGTGGAAGAAAACAACAGAAGGTGGACAACCTGAACAGGGTCTGAAGAAAGAGGAAAGGACTTTGTGTGAACTTTGACCCTCTGATTAGGTCACAAACTCCTTACAACAACAACACCACCACACAAGTGTTTTGTCAGACAGCTGTTCACATGTACTAAGCCACCCAAAATATTGACCCCCAAATTTTTTTTTAAACAGCGATTTCTTAACCTGTGGTGCCTGCTACATGTGCTCCAGAAAATATTTTGTAAAAATTCAAATTCTAAATGTTGACAAAAAAATTAGGAAAAGATACATAACATAAGCACATTTGTTATAAGCAAGAATGAAAGTGTTTTCTTTCTCCTTGCTCTCTTGGCTTAGAACAGCTGAACAACTTGCTGACAGTTAGCTGAAAGACTGATGAATTACCTCAGTGTTTCTACTGCTGGGATGAGGGTTTTTCTGGGATGAAGAGCTCCCTTGAGGCTGCTATAAAAGGGTCTAGATAAAAATGATGAATCATAAAACTAAAACATTCATTCTCAAAAAAAGGATTTAGACCTCTGAGATCCGATGCTAGAGATTTAAGGAATTGATCTGCCAGACGTCGAGTTGGTGTAATGTCTGTGCCTCCAGGGGACGAGGTTTGCATGAAGATTAACTATCCAAAAGACACACTCACAGGTGTGCACACACAAACACATCCACGCACTCAACAAATAACTGTTTGCTATAAAAGCACTCAAGAAGAGAGACATAAACAAAGATAGACATACATGTTTTACTCCATCAGCACCCACACCAAACAGTTGAAGTGCAAATCCAGAGAAAAAAGTGAATGAAACGATTAAAATGTAAAACAGCTGAACAAAACCGCATTTACACAATTTGTCTTCAAAGCAGGCTACACAAGCACTGAACACAACTTTAATTACTGGAGGCTTTCACATTTTAGAGCAGAACAAAAATCATCAGAAATAAATGACATAATAGAAAAACAAGGAAGAAAAAATAGATTGTTGTAAGTGACAGATTCTGAGGCATGCTCCAATGCCAGGCACTGGAGGAAAGGGGGGTGGGGGGTGGGGATTTAGCTTCTACACATTGCAAGTTTTGCTCTCTGAAAGTTCTCGTAACATGAGCACTATTTTTTTTTCTTCTCTTGAATAAACACTGATGCCGCATTTCAAGACCAACAACAGCAACATAATCAAGCCTGGACATTGGAAGACTCATCACTCCTTCCCCAACAATGCTGAGCACTTGTCTAATTGTTTAATTGAAAAAAGCGTTTTGGTACGTGTGATGAATAAATTACTGATGCAGGAGAGAAATGCAGTCATACTCATCAATGAAACAGTTCGCTTGATAATAGTGAGAGGGTGAACACATAATGAAATGTGTAGAAACTTCTATCTTGAACGCCAGTAGCATAGATTTTATGACTAAATTAGAAAAAAACCACTGTTGGTGTTTTTACACCCTCAACGACAAAATTCAAAACATTTAGGAGGCGCACTTTGAGGCCAAACCCAGGCTGAAAGGGATACAACATCCCAGCAAAGAGACTGAGATACTCTGCAAAATTTCTCCCCAGTCTGGAAGCGAACTCGGGTGTCCTGCTTGAAAAGGCAAAGTGCCTAACCGCTATACCTCAGATGCCGGTGATTACAACAGAAACTCTATCCTTGTAGATCTTGTTGGTGACTATAACTGAAAATCTCTCCTTGCAGATCTGACCCCCAAAAAATCACAAATCTTCATCCTCTGGTTACTACATACCTGATGCTTGCTGTCTTCGAAGTAGAAAAGTGAGGTACGTGTGTGTGTGTGGGGGGGGGGGGGGGGGGGGGGGGGGGGGGAGAATAAAAATACAGTCAACCTTTCTGTATGGCCACCTGTCCAAGACAATCACCTGCACAAACAACCACTTTCCATGTTACATTTTACATTTTCTAAAATATAACGACACCGTCCTCTTATCTGAGACGAACACTTTCCTCCTCGACAATGGGTGGCCATGTGGACAATTTTGACTGTATTTCGCAGTTAGAAGTTAGATAATTAGATAATTAAACACATCGCCACGTGTTAGATGTATAATCGGAGGAAAATGGCATCAGTTGTACTTTAGACGAGGCAAAAAGTACACACAACTGACAACTGGGTAATTATGCAGATTCCTGACAAGGGACATTATAAGGAAACACCAGGCATGGGAAAACTATCTTATACCCATTAATACACACACGCACGCACACACATTCACATGACAGACAAGCACTCTATGACACAAAATCAACTCTCAGCTACGTCGGAAAATTTAACATAATTTCAGGAAAAGAACGACTAATACAAATATAGAATAGAATGATAATGACACCGCTGCAAAAATATCCTACTGTAAACTTATAATGTTAACCTTTGGTCCTCAAGAGACGAGAAATTTACTACAATGCATTGCACGTAGAATAATGAAACAAAAACAAGAAAGGCCAGTCCTTACTCGCCTCAGTACTCATTATTACAATTCTTCTTCTCTGACATTTATCATCGGCCAGGTGTTCAGATGCACCATGTCCAAAATTTTGAAATATGTTTTTGGTGGATCCTTATCTGGAGTATCAGTTGCACATGTTCCAGATTCAAATTCTAAATAATAAAAAAAAAAACAAAACAGGAAAGATACATGAAGTACATACAATTCTAAAAAAAATAAACAGTCCTTTCTCTCTCACCTAAAAATTTAGCCTTCTGGGCTTAGTACAGTTGAACAGCTAGCTGATGATATGACAGCTCAGGCAAAGAGCACAAAATGACGAGAGGTGAAAAAAGCAGAAAGCGCACAGCATCCACAACACACGATTCTCCACCACCTTGTTCCCCTCAGGACAAATTCGCTTCAAAGAAAACTCAAACATAAGGCACACTATGGCCTTTTCACTCTGCATCGCCAAATCTCTGCTACTTGTAAAAAAACCTTTCGTACGACCTTAAAGGAACACCAGTCAAATATGCACCCTGAACACTGCGAAAAATTCAAGACACGCGGAAAACAGCAGTAGTAAAAATACAAGCACAAGGCATTTTTTTCCCTGCAGCAGTGACAGAGCAAAAAAAGAAGAGGGGTAGAAAGAACACTCTAGTTCAGAACAAAACGGCAATAGCCAAAAATCACAGGGGGAGGGAGGGTGGGGGAGAAGAGAAGCTAATGCTGAATGGAGCACAGCCAGAGTGTAAGTTTCAGAGGATTGGAGAAAAAAACATGACAAAGTTGCCATCAGCTGTTTATTAATATTTTTTTTCTGGTTGACTGAAACTCTCAAATTCTCTTGAGTTCAAAGCTTTGTGCTCCATCAAAAGCCAAAATCTTAGGACAAGACTGGGCCCAAATCTAATTTCTGAAATAGTGGATTGTTTGTATCTACAAATAGAGCTGATTTTCCAAAACCTTAATAGAGCTAAAAAAAAACAGTGGGCAGCCAGCATTGAAATGAGGAAAGAGGGAAAAGGTGCGATTGTACCAGAGAAACCACAGGCCAAAGTCCATTGCTATCCCACTGCATCTAAACATATGAGGAATACGATTTTTGCTGGTTTTTTCTCCTTTGGCAGAAATGGGCATACTCAGTCTTGTTTTCAGGTCTTCAGTTTCTTTTTTGGTTCGATATACGATACTGTCTGGCTAGGAGTGAATTGAGAGATAGAGCAGTCACACTTCTCACATCACATGATTATGAATTTTCTTTTAATGGAGGGGAGAGGAGAATTATGTTACAGTTCATAGTTGAAGGAGCAACAAGGCAAGGCTGAAACCACATGTGAAAAAAGCTTATGATCCTTTACAGAATATTTATTTCAACTCTTTGAGAACAACACTCAAGTTCGTTTCACCCTGCTTTACAAGGTGAATAAAAAAACCCATACAACTTTGAAGTTACTCATTTTTTCTTGTGACATGGATGATGTTGTCAATGTTGCATGCTGGTGATAAGGAAGAAACTTGGAACATACTCTGCCCTTACAAAGTACAGTGGAGCCCGTTAATAGTACTACCCAAATCTGCAATTTTTCTTTGGTTAGCCATGTTTTTGTTTTACAGAAATTGCTCAAACAGCTTAGTACAAAATCAGGGTTTCTCATTTCCTTCCGTCTACTGCAATTTCTGATTGTGTTTGATTCAAGTGGACTCCACCATAGCTGTATGAAGGTGACAAGAGAGCAATAGGTGTGTACTCTGCCCCTGCCTTAACTTGACAGTTGCACACTGGTGATGAGAAAGCAACACGTGTGTATACTGACACGGTAGTTATACCTTGGGTGTCCAGACAGCAACACATGAGTATTCTGCCGAATCACGATAATTGTATATATGTCACAAGAAAGCAACACGTGTGTATTCTGCCCTAACAGCACAGCTGTAGCACGCACACCGACACAGAGAGGAGCATGACTCAGTAGCAAGGCATCACAGCTCCATAGGCTGCTTCCTAAACATGGCACTACTGTCTTAGTCTTCTGCAACATTAAATCTCTTCTGTAAAGAGTTTGCACTGCTACTTGTTGCTTGAGTAGTGGAGGGGAGGGAGGAGGGAAGAAAAACAATCACATGAGGGGGAGTCCTATTACACGGGCTACATGACCATAAACGCAATCAATTCTCATCCTGCAGAACAATCTGGTCAAATCTCTCTCTTTGTCAACAATTCTATCTCCATGTCAGATCCACATACAAATACATACTCCTCTCAGAATTGGTATGTATCCAAATTTCAAAACGATCAAATTCAGCCTGGCCTATAGCCCGATCACTTTTCAGTCAGTCGTTCAACCCCTGAGCAGACAAAATGAAAGGTTGATGGTTTGAGGTTGAGTCCAACCACCCGGCCACCTCTCCCCCTGGAAGTCAATGTCAGTTGATGTACTCTACGTAGTTCTCCGGTATAATGCCCGTCTTGCCATTGAGGGTCCCCTCCAGCCATCCCCGCTCTCGAGATGGACGAACTGGGGAGAACACACGACATACAAAGACATCAGTTTACATTTACAATTCTTTTCTTCCCTAAATCCACATCCTTTGAGGAAGCTGTGTAATCCTCATTCTCAACTGTTTCAGACATCAAAAGATAAAACACACTCTAATGATGCTTCACATGGATATAAACAAAAATCCACCCAAGAGACAAAACACACTGATTAGATGGTTTGTGACGAAATGAGCAGAGCTCACAAAGATGAAACCAGAATAAAAAGACATGACACAATATCACTTAATATGACACACTTCATTAATCCTTCATTAGAAAAAGACGGGCAAGTGAGAAAATTCATTGCTGCTTTTTCTTGAAACTGCTTTACTTGACTTGTGTGAAAAGCACATGATGCAATATAATGAACTTAAATGGATTTTTTTCTTCTAAAAGGTAGATGTTTTTATTCCCCCATCAGCACAATTAGATAATTTAACTCTCTCAATCCTGTGACTGAAATATCTCCGTCAGCTCGCAGGCTGCGTTCAATACCACGACTGAGATAACTTGGTTCTATAGTTTTGTTCTGTATACTAGTTATTTCATTTCGGAAAACGCCTCAAGCTTTATATATGGTCAATTTATTGTTTCCCCCGGCCAAATCTGCCTAGAGGGGTGCTGGAATTTTGTTTTTACTGTCATTACAAAGGGAGAAATAGCAGTCTTTATAAAGGCATTTTCAGCACTTTTGTTAATACTGATCAGCTGAGCATGTCTCGCAATCGATCCTCTCTGCCTTTCTCACACATACATTTTTTAAAAATTCATGAAAGTATTCAACAGTCTTTATTATACATGACATACAATATATAGATCTATAGACACTCACAAGCATACTTGAATATCAATGTAGGCTTGCTCTTTTGGCCATGAAAAAAAAATTATAAGCCCCCAAAAATGCCAAATTTGTACAACACCCCAAAGCAAAACTACTAAAGCTACATACTTCAAATTTGGTATGTCTAAAAAACCATCTTAGGTTGTACTGTGTGCCAAATTTTAAAGCAATTGAATTATATTTATGGTTACTCAACTTGTGGGCCCTTACACAAGTGCCAAAATGGCCAGTTTCTGGGTACAATTTTGGGAAAAACTCCCGGGTTGAGAGAGTTAAGAGGCGAGCTTCAGAACTGCCTGTCAGGACTGAGATACTCCATTAAAATTCTCCCTACACAGGAATCAAACTCAGGCCTTTTGTATGTGAAGACACAGTGCCTAACCACTACACCACAGACACTGATCTTTACTGGAAGAAAATAACAAAATAACAAAAAAAAACAACAACCAAATAAACCGAAACCAAAAAAAAAACCCAAAACAACTTACCATTGGTGATCAGCTGATTTGCCTCAAAGGACAACTCCATCTCGTTGTCTGCCTCACATCTGTACCTGGTTATCACAGTTCTGAAACAGGTAATAATTCCTTAACAACTTAAACTCTCAGGACAGAAGGGTCATTAAAAAATGCAGAATTTTAACTCATTCATTACGTTAAACCAACTGATTGGCTCAGCATCTTCCTCATCACTAGGACCGGCCATACATCAGCTTGACAATATGCTTATGTAAATACTGGAACTGGTCAAATCCAGACTTTCCAAAACAGTATCCATGTTTTGTTGGCCTGAATATATATTCCTTTTTCGCCCGCCCCAGTTCCCCTTTCAATTTCATTTGATTTGATATAAAATAGTTTTTACTTTGCAAAACAAATAGGAAAATCAGTGGACAAAACTAAATGTGAGTACTTTACAGGTGCTGGCCGGCAGAAGTAATTAATTCGAGGGGGAGGGGAATTAGCTGAAACTTTTGTAGTGAATGAGTTAAAAGTAAGAAAAATTCACCAACCCAAAAAGGGAATTCAGTTCAGGGATAATGCAAACAAGACAGAAAGAGACATTAAGAAAGAAACACAGAGCTGGAGCTACCAGCTGCACTATCCAACAACCGGAAAGAAAAAGTGAGACGGTTTGCTACAAACAAAGGAAGATAATCCTAACAAAAAGCTAAAAGGTAACAGAATGTAATCAAACAATGAAAAAAAAAAAAAAAATTTCAATTATTAAAATGACTGTTAGACACAGGTAATTACTAGGACTTACCACGCAAAGGAAAAAAGAAGAAAAAGAAAAGATAAGTGGAAGTTAAGAGGGAAGTAGGAATAGCAGGATGAGCTTCAAATTTTAAAAAGTAAATAAAATAGAAAAAGAAGAATGGAAAGAAAGAATAAAAAGCATGGGATGAAGCTAGACTCATGAGAGAAGAAACAAAAGTAGATGGTAAAAGTGAAAAAAAGCATTGGGGCAAACCTCTGAACTATGACAATATGAAAGAGTAAGATAAAGAAAAGAAGGAATGTAGGAGGGAACACCCCCCCCCAAGTAGAGAGGGAAAAAGAAAAGGAGAAAATGTAATCAACTGAGTACATTTCAAGACTGCCATTGACCCAATATAGGGAAGTGTGGAGGGAGAGAGAGGGGAATTAAGTGTGAAAGGATAGAGATAGAAAAGAAAGAAGCAAGGAAAGAAAGGGGAAAAAAGGGAACACAGAAGGATAGAAAAAAAGAGAGAAAAGGGGGGATTTCAGAAATCAAAGAGAGAAGAAGAATGTAAGGAAAAACGCTATAGTTTTTTTTTTTCTCTTTTAAATGTAGGTGTTTTTATGCCCCCCTGGACACAAGTAAAATTATTTAGTCAACCAGGGCTGAGAAGGATACAACACCCAACAATAATGAGAAACTCAATAAAAAATTCTTCCCACTCAGGAATCAAACTCGAATCAGCTGCTGCATGTGACAGCGAAACACCAAAACTGGTGTACTACAGACACCAGTAGGGGAAGAGGATGGGAAACGGACAAAGGCTGGGGCGATGACGAAGGTGTCCTTACCTGCCCGGAGGTTTGCTGGAGGAGCCTATGCTGGTCACACTGCCTGTCAGGCTGCCTTGCATGGACGTGGACCTGCAGGGTATACATAAATAAACAATTACTTGCTAGATTTAGGATACACCTCTTTTTCAACACACAAGCCGGTAGATTTTTGCACGGTATACACACACAACTATTTACTGACGACATTTAGGATACACTTGTTTGCAACATGCAAGCCGATAGATTTTTGCAGGGTATACGCACACAACTAATTACTGACTAAATTTAGGATAGGCAACATGTAAGCCGATAGACTTCTTTGAGTTTTTTTTTTTCCAGTTTTGTAGGGAGGTAAAAAAAAAAAGACCACTGAAACAATAACGATCGTCACTTCTCCTTTCCGACTTTTCCAGTAGCAGGACATTGCTTCTCTGACCTCTCGGCAATAAAACACTCTGTCTCCTGCCATTCTGCTTGCCCGAGATGTTTTGATTTCAAGACTGGTTTCTATGTCCCGTTCCCATCTATTACGTCCTGCCCCCCCCCCCCCCCCCCATCTCCATTCTCCTCTCTCTCAGTCATTTAGTGTGCGGAAAATGCAAAACTGGCAGACAGGCCAAAGAGAAGAGTAGTGAACTTGAAAAAAAATCTACCAGTGGCACTCTACAAGCACACGCAGAGAAACTGCAATTTCTATCCAGAGCTGGCAGAACCTTCGTATGCTTTCTAAGTAAGACCTCTGACATACACTACAACACATCCAAAAGGTAGGATCACTGAAACATATTTCCACACTTATCAAGAAAATTGGCACTTCGCTACCTCAGAAAATTTACCAAGTTCAATGTGACATTTTTTGCCGCTTAGAGTTACTAAGATCATGTTCTGTCTGCTCTATTACAATCGTAAGATGTTCCGGAGTCATTATCAAGATATTCAAAGAAATGCATGGGAAAGTAGCTTGACATGAAGTGAAACTCAAAATCTTTTGACCTCAATTGCTCAAAACAAGGTGCTGAGCACATAGAACTTTGTTATAGCGACTTGTGAGTCAGTTCAGTTTGCAAAAACTACATTGAAAGACATTTTGACAATTCCAGGTGTACAGAGTACTCACATTCCCCCAGGCAAGTTGGAAAAGTCGTTGCTGCTTCTCTTCTTGACGCTCCCACTGGAGAGAGAAAACAAGAAAGTTCAGACAGGGCAGGCGTGTTTGGATCACGTTAAACTCACATGCACTCAGATCATATCACAATGCTTTTAGTTTTAGTAAGTTTTACAGTCCTTGCAACACAATAACGTCATATAAGTGCTGAATACGACAACGTTTAAAGACAACACATTTTTCAATTCACATTTTCTTTATCTTGAACCTAAAAAGGCAGGCAACAACATTCAAATCATGAAATGCGCAAATCAGTGTTTCTGACTTTTGTATGATGGTTTGAAATGTGCCACAACATAGCCTTTGCTGGTCACCTGATGGGACCTATGTCCTTAGAGAGTTAAGAGTACATCATATAGGCACCCTTTCTTCTGCGGCGAGGATTTGTGTGTGTGTGTGTGTGTGTGTGTGTGTGTGTGTGTGTGTGTGTGTGTGTGTGTGTGTGTGTGTGTGTGTGAATATGAACGAGTGAGTAGGGAGGGGAGACAGAGAGATAGAGAGAGACAAAGACAGACAGAGAGAGTGAGAGAGAGAAAGACTGTGTGTATTCTCATATTCTTGTTAAAGATAAATAAGTATATTTGTTAATGTAATCTTTGCTGTAATACACATGGCGTATTCACAAAGTGCAAATGCCCTATATAAATATCAATAATTAACATTAAGTGTTTAGTTTGTAGTTTTAGTAAGTGTTTTACAGCACTTGCAACACAATAAGGTCATATAAGTGCCAAAGATTAGAGGCGTTACAAGAGAGTAACAAACACAAAAAAGAAGGAGGGGAGATAGTGTTTAGTTTTGATAGAGGTTTTTCAGCGCTTGCAACTGCACTAGGTCATATGAGCGCCGGAAGATTAGTGTCTTACAAGAGAGTAATAAACATAAAAAAAGAAGAAGGGGAGATAAGGACGATAGATCTTTGATAGGAAAGAAGAAGCAAACCATCCCAGAGCACCCGCCAACCACCCACATAATTATCAAGAAATAAAGACACCGTCATGTGCCCCAAATACTTACAAGGCTGGTGAGTCACTCCCAGACATCATGTTAAACTTTGAGGCTGGGGAAAATAAGGAAAAGAAAACATGTCCAAATAAGAAGTGGGGTGGAAAATCAGCAGAGTGTGAAAATATGCAAAGTCATTATTTTCAAAAATTAATTATTAATGTTTAACTTTACATACTCGTACGACACTTGCTATGAGAGAGACATCTATAAGCATTCTGCTGTAAGACATATTTCACCCAAAGTGGGCAGAAGGGGACAAAAATAAAAAATTACTTTACCAAGGTACAGCTCATCATTCACATCTATAGTTTGTCAAACTGGAGTTTGAGTTGAACCCTGAAAATGGGGTTCCTAAATGTTACAAACAACTGCATTACATAAGCACTTCAAATTAATTAACATTTTAAAAATCCATTCGTCTTTCGTCAGAAGACTGTAGGTATGTTCTTGTTCTCATGCTTACACCCCCCCCTCCCTCTTAAAATACTTCATATACATATTTCTAGTAGTACTACTGTGTTATCTAATCATTTAATCAATTTCTGGAACAAATCCCCCCCCCCCCCCAACACACACAAGCATACACATACACAAACCCAGGCACATAGTTGCATAGTAAAAATGTACATAACATCAAAAGTAACAAGGAAAAAAGTTTATGCTCAAATCTTCTCTGGGCACATGAAGACTTACAATTAGTAAGTGAAGTGTTGGGGTGAGGGGTAGGAGGTTGAGACGGGAGTAAGTAAGTTGGTGAGTGAGAGACAGTGTGTGGGGTTGATGGGAACAGGGGGGTGGGGGGATCTGTGACTACGGAAGGAACAGCGATGAGCCAGCACAAGACATGGCATGCATTGCCTATCACACATTCCAGGGGCTATTCTATTTTTGTTTTAGTAAGAGTTTTTAGTTTTTGTAAGAGTTTTACGGCACTTGCAACACTGTAAAGTCATATAAGTGCCAAAGACTAGAGGTGTTACAAGAGAGCAACAAACACAATAACGGAGGAGGAGAGAGAGAGAGAAATAAGGACGACAGATGTTTGACTGGTAAGAAGGAGCAATCCACACCAGAGTACCCACAGTAAGAGTCTTACGGCTTTACAGCACTTGCAACACATTAGGTAATAATGGTGCCGAAGATAAGAGGTGTTACAAGAGAGTAACAAACAAAAAAAAAAAGGAGGAGAGATAAGGACAATAGATATTTACCAGGAAAGAAGCAGCAACCCACACCAGAGCACCCGCTAACCACCCACTTTCCAGAGACTATGGAATGTCTGTAACCTATTTTTTAAATGTTTGTTCATCTTGTACATGGTATATTCAAGTTCACTCTTTACTTTCTATGGAGAGGTCTGTAAGAGTCGCAGAGAAGTACATCAATATTCAATATGGCATTGGCCATTTCAGCTAGGGAGATGGGCGGACACAACATCAGCCATTGGAATTCTACAGTAAATAGGATTCAAAGGACAAAAGTTGAGAGAGGAGGGGGGGGAGGGGGCCGAGAGAGAGA